TTTCAACTCTCCATTACACTTAATACGCATTTTCCTCGACAAAGATTAGTTCGCTTCCCCCTCCCCCCCCACCTCCCCCAAAAAAAAGTGAAATTTGAGCCTACAGCTAAAAACAACTTAAAAGTGATTCGAATTCCCCTGTACTTTGAGGGAAATTTTTGCACGAGGCATGATAACTTTTCTTAGGCAGAATGCTCATTTACTAGACAAGCAATACGTTACTTTGTGAATTTTGCTCCGGTTCCAATTACTGATCAAATTAGACACGCAGCAACTAGAAATAATCAGTTTTCCCTTATCATATTTCCAAAAAAAATTGGTACATCTGACTACTGATATCGCGTGTACATTGATTCATTAAGTACCATACGACCGTTCAAAAATCTCGGAGTTTTTCATAATGTCAAATTCGTTTTCAACACACCACACAGCCGAAGCTGTAGGAGCAAGTCTGTTTATTTAAAGATATAAATAACACTGATTTTCAACTGATTTAAAAGCCAACTTTATCAATGATAACAAATGCCTTCACCAACAGAAACAACCAAAGCAAAACAAGCACCGGCACACAAAAGTCCCTCATGCGCAAACAAAGAATTAATAAGGCAGTTTTCTAACTGAGCAGCTCAGATGTTAAAGAAATATGCAAATGTAACATGTTGCAGTTGAAATTTGATGCAACAGAAAATCCAGAAGTTTTCGATATTTCGAATTTTGGAGAAATTTTAAAATTACAGCTACGACCCGCAAAACAATTGACCGAAGACTGGAATGTTTGCTGCAAACTTCTGCAAACTTAAAAAGTAACAATGAAAATTTAAAAAACGACAAACTTATCAAGTTTTTGCCATAGCAACAAATAAGACAATTATAAGGCAGAAAAGTGATAAGCGACACAGTTTAATTAACATAGTTAATGAATTAACAAACCAGGAAAGAAATAAGTAAAAACATAAAACAATACTGTCTATAAAATAATTCCACCGAAGAACTGACAAATATTGGGATATCTAAAAAGTAACAGGTGTTAAAAGTCGAGCACTCGGCTTTGCCATTGGAAAAATCAAAGTGGCTACGACGACTCGTTCGCTAGTTTCGATGGCAGACTGGCTCCAGCATACACCGACAAGCAGCAATCGCTTTCACTTAAGGAACGCTCGAAAAGGGAGTCATTGAAAGCTTTGCCAACGAGTGGTTGCTGTTTGGCGCATTTTATCACGTAGACTGATTTCGGGAGTTTCCTTTTCGTAAAGAAAATATGCTGCGAAGGGATATTTTAACTTCTAGTGCAATAGCACGCAGAAACTCATAACATGTAAGCCAGACAGATTTGATAAGAGAAACATTTGTGAAGGACTACTACAAGTTTTTTCAAACAATATTTGCAAACTCGCAGGCAGCTTCCACTTCACTGCATTCTTTCAGTGATACGATATGAATTACTGTTGATAATTATGCTTCACCCGTGATGATCTTAACTTTGCTTCGCGAATCCAGCAGGTGCATCTTTGATGCTTACCAAATGATAACGTCTGAGGTGGACAGCAAATTGAGCACGAGTTCGAAATTTCTTGGCGCACGTTTCACATTCAATCAATGCATCCTCTGTAAAATAACAGTATTGGAAGAGATTTAGAAAACATCCCTGATCTAATCACTTCATTCATCTTACGTTTGCATTTAAAAAACAGAAAGAAATTCTAGCAATAAAAAGTGTAGGAAGAGCAGTCCTTGACTTGCAAGGTTTCCACGACTGCCTGAAAAATGGGCTGAAGAGAACGAGTCCCCAACATGGTAGGTGTACCTGCCTCATGCTCTCGTGAACAGAGCCCTTTTGCAAAAGGGGCTACGGGCCGTAAGGGAATCGAACCACCGCCTTTCATATCCGTACCCGACGTGTCATCCACTACACCACCCCCACTCATTCATGATTAATCTGGCAGCACATCTACTGTGTATCGATCCTTCAAAGAGGAATACACCCATCTTTTCTATGGCCTCCAACAAGTAGTATGCATTTTTTTTCCTTGGGATTTCTACTTCGCCGGCTTTTTTAGAGTTTCCTGCCGCAACTGTTTTTCGAAACAAATACAGATCGAACTGTAAACCCGTTTAGAAAAGCTGTGTCTCCACCACTAGTACTCCCGCAAACAATAAGCAATGTTGAAACGAAATCATCGCCAAATCTGCTACTGAATAAATTCATCAGTGGGACGGCGGCGGCGCAGTAAGGGGAGGGGGTTACTGTCATTCCTTCCACAACTGTTCCTCCCCCTCCCCCTCGCTCCCCGCCCCGCAATTGGTCTTACTGTATGGGAAGCATGTTCATTTTAGCGAAAATGAGCTTACCACTATGAGCTGATGACAAATGATCCTGAAGTTTTGAAAGGCACGGAAAGCGTTGCGCACAATCTTCAAATTTACAGGTTAACTTTTTCGACCTCTTTCTTTCCGTATAGCATTTCAGATGTACACGATTCCAATGGCGGCGCGCATTATGCATACTGCCAAAAATTTTGTCACACTTCTGACATGAATATTCGCCTACAAAAAAATAAATTTTATTTACAAAGCTTTCAAATAATTCATTTTTCTTTAAAAAAAAGATCCTTTTGTCTAGCCTTATTAAAAAACCGTAACACGTAATTTTCGAGAGAAAGACTTGTAAAAAC